GTAGCTTTATCCAGTTGATGCTCTAAAATACATTTTGACCTGACAAAATCACAATTTAGGTTATGCATAACCCTCCTATGGTTGTTTAATGATGGGACGAAATTTCATGACAGAATAGCTTACACCCTAATGGCAGAGTCAGACTAACAATACTTCTGCAACTTGCCACCTAAATACACATTTTTGGGATTGAATTTTGGGATGTATTATGGCTCATTTTAGTGCTAATGTCTGCCTTAACCTTTAAAGATGAGGTAACACTTTATAATATGGCCCGGTAATACCGGGGTAGTGCCAGGGTAATTGCAGGGTAAACATTTCTATATACCTTTGCTCCCAAGTGTGATTAACACTTTAAGCAAATTAAACAGGGCACACTCACACGAGGCAATTTGTACCATTCCAGAAGAACCCACAGCTCCATCATGCTGGGGGTTTTTCTGGATCGCTGTTGCTTTCCAGCTGCTTCATCTCCCTCTATCAGTCTCTCCTCTGTCCGTCTCTCTCTTTCTCCATCTCCCTCTCGCCCCTCTCTTAACCCAGCTCAGTCTCGGCAGATGACTGTCTGGTTCTGCTCAAGGTTTCTGCCTGTTAACATGTGGTTGAAGATGGTATCGGGTAGTGGGTATGATCTTACAGGACGGGGCTCAGCCTGATCCTATCTTTAAATTGGGTCTTTGTGAGTAGAATCTGGTCTAGACCAGCTTCTTTCTTGTAAGCATCTTGGGATAACACTTTTTGTGAAATGGTGCTGTAAAAATAAAGATTGATTGATTGATAGAAGTGGGTTTTAAGATGTTGTAGTTGCATGTGCATGAGCACAGACTTGGCTACGCAATGTGACCATTAAGGGTAATCAATAGAACCTTTCCTCTCAGCAATCATTTAAAGACCCACACCAATCAAAATCATGTTTCTCTTGTTGTCTACATGTTCAGATGACATTTTTCTGATGCTACAGGACATATCATGACAAAACTAAGTGGGAAATAACATTTCTGAGTATTTCTGCATTCAAATCACTGTGAATCTCTGGCAGACCCAAACAGCAGGTTTAGAGACAGTGAGATTTACTATGTAGCAAATCCAAGCACCTTCACCAGAGCCCCGCTATGCAACCCACACAAAGTAGAGAGGATGATCGTGGAACAAGTGTGTGCATTAGCGGATTGCAATGCTCATAAGAAAGCTAATTATGATATTAACTTTCATCATGTCCCCAAGACATGACTAGTGTCTAGTGTCATGACTAGTCCCCAAGACTAGTGCCTGAGAGCTGAGCAGCTCCTATGTTACCTGCTACTTCTACTACACCGACAATGTTAGGCTACAAGCTAGCATGAAGAGGAGTGTGCAGAGCAGTGCTGTCTCCGCTCACAAACCAGAGGAGATTTGCTCATGAGCTACTGGAGCTCTGCAAAAGACAAACCCTTGAAAATGACACAGGTAACGTGATTTTGTCTAAAAACTTTATAATCACAATTTAAAGACCACTGAAAACACTCAAAGTATTAAAACAAAAAATGATTGGAGTGGGACTTTAAAACAGTGGCAGCAAAATCTTCTTGTTGCATAACAGAGAAATCTAACCAAAATGACTCAGAAGAAGCCACAAAGTCAGTGAAGTTGCTGTCTTGCTCTCTGTGTTGTCAATTGTGCTGACTCTGACACCGCACTCCTTATTATATAAGGATGCTACATGATTTAAAGCCATGCATGTGTTGTGTTACGACATGATGAAGAATGAACAACAGTTTACAGTGCTTAGGCCTGTCTGAGACTGGAGCAATATGAGGACAACAGTTGAACTGTAACATGACACCTGGCAACTTGACTTTCTGTGAGTGCGCCCCTTCGCCTATATGTCGTGCAAAAATTTACATTTTCTTGCACAATTTTGTGGTGGCATGACTGTTGGATGAGGCCTTTTTCCTTCTAAAGGACTTTTCGACTGTTTGTAGAGGCGGTGTGCTTTACTTTAGTCCTGCGTGAAACTGAAGTATGTATCCAGCTGCTGCTGTTCAGCATTCTTACTGCAAACTAGTTTTACAGCTAACCCAGGCTAACTCCACAAACACACCTCATTTACTGCATGCAATTAAATTCATACCACAAACTATTACAGTAACCCGTATTAGAGACACAAAGCAGGTTATACATAATGGAAATGTACTGCAGTGAAAAGCCTGCTAACTAACTCTTCATCTTCATCACACTGACTCATCTTAATGTTCATCAGCAAACAGAGTAAAATGTTTCCACAGAAAACAAAGCAACACTTCCAATCATTCAGTACTAACAGGTCCTGGAGGGCTTTACTCAGCCCCCTCCCCTCACTCTGCTCTCTCAGTCCTCCAGCTATCATGTGGCTGCCTCCTACTTGTTCTGTGGAAGTCCCAGCCCAGCCTTATCTCACCCTCCCACTTACTTCCAGAGAAACCAACGCACCCCGGCCCTCTGCAGCCCCTCAGAAACATGTGTGTGCTGTGTTTCTGTGTATTTGTTTGTGTGTACGCAGGTGCACATGCTCTGATGATTACATGCTCATGTGTGTGTTTTAGTACATCTATGCATATGTGTGTGAGTGTGTGTACACAGTGAAGAATGGGGGCTTTGGCTCTGGGGGGGACTGATATTACACATCCTGCTCTGTTTGTTTATAAAACTGCAGCATTGAATCTGCTGCCCTGCAGTCAGTGCAGTTTTCCTGGAAGACCATGACAGCCCCTGTGACACAGCCATGTTCAGTCGTGTTTGCTGGATTGAAAGTGATGATCAGCTGCCTGAGCCCTGCTGTTAGTTTTTCTGATGAAGCAATCATACAAGCAACATCTATAATGCATAAGTGTGGAGGAATCCATTTAGATCCAGAATATCAACAGAGGCAGAGCAGAGGCTTTTTGGTGTGCATGGTTGTAAAGAACAGGGTTATTTTGCTTTCTGACTTATGACTCATCAAATCCCTCCTTTCATTAGACAAACACGAATTACGCACATACTCTGTGAGCAGACGTAAAAGGAGAGCTAAAGAATCATTTCAGGAGAGAAAATATAAAAAGCCAGAGTGAACCAAAACCAACAGACAAATGCAGCTACACATGTGAATACACAAACGCTCAGCTTAAAGTGAGTGTGTTTCCAGACTGAGGCATTATCACTAAGATATGACATGTGTGAATTAATTCGTTAATTCAATAATTACAATGTGTTGACAGCATACATTTTGATGAAGTCTGATTCTTGACAGATTGACAAAATTGACAAATTGCCTTCTGAGTTGGGAAAAATATCAGATACAGTGGAGCAAGGTATCCACACGCATTCTAAAATCACATTAAAGACTCTATTTGAGACATAAACAAAGACTAGTTAATACATATTTTTATGCCAATAGGGAATGGCAATAAACACAGATAAGAACAATCAAAACGGCTTTGAATATCAAATGTTAAACCATATATCGGAAGTTTACCAGATATCACAATAACTGCATTATATTTATATATATAAAATAATGCAATCAGTATAAGTGAGGATAAGCAAGGCAAGAGTGGAGTAAAACATTACTCTATTTTTTCATTTACTTTTTTGAATAAAACTTTTGCTGTTCTTAGATAGTACAGCTGAAGAGAGACAGGAAGTCACAAAAATCCTCTAGGGGGCAACAGAATTTACGCACTTTAGCTTTAAATGAGACATATGTTGGTCAAAGGGCTTTGAAAAATTTAAGACGAGTGAAAATACGACTTTTTAAGACTCTTTAGGGATCCACAGGAACCTTGCTTACAGTTGACATGGCAGTATCGACATTCATGCAATTCATCAGGAATATCAGTTTAATCTCTTTTCCTCATGATGTCACTGGAAAATATAATCAGACCTTAGCAGATACCCCTCAAAATATATCTGCAGTCACAGTCTGCTGAAAATAAATGCAATTTCAGTAAGATAGGGCCACATGCTCATATATCAACACTGCCTGTTGCTCAAAAACACACGCACACAAACCATATGGGAATGCCATTACGTTTCCTTGGGAGGATACTAAGGAGATTAAGTCAGCCTTTTACATCTAACTACTCCCAACTCTCCAGCCCTGGCAGAATGTTAAACAGTGATGTCAGTGCATTCCTCAGCCTGCAGAGACATTCTCCAGGCAGCAGCAGCAGCAGGAGGTTTAAAAAGACCTCTACACTCCAACAAAGCCAAAATCCACACTGAAAACCAAGTTTCACATGTGTTTTCTAAGTGCTATCTCTATAGAGCACATTGAACAGTGACACTGATAAAAAACCGTATGCGTTATACTATCGCATTAAAAACTGATCCAAACATTAGGTTTGGCTGACTGACAGGCCTCGGTTTCAGAGGAAAGACAAAGACTGACCTGATTTCTATTTACTATTTCTTCAAAATAATGCTGTAAATTGTTGGGAATTTAGGGTAAAATGGGCCTAAACTAAAGGTGTCGAACTATTGGCTCACACAGACTTTCACAATTCAAAAGGGTGGATTTTATCATCCATAGTTTGTAACTCCTGTGATAGCCTGGTGATCTGTCCAGGGTGTGCCCTGCAGGGATAGGATCCAGTCCTTATGAAACCCAACTGGTAAAAGCCATACAGATGATGGATCATCTACAGAACAAAATATCTTGAAAAAATTCAGAGAAATTGAATGAAAACTTTATGTAAGAACTTAAAATAGATATTAAGTTGGTGCCCCAGTTGTGTCAGTCCAGCCAATGTAATGGTTCAAGCTTGAAGAGAAGTCAGTTCCTGAGCTGCACCATGATGGGCATCAAGAGAGACGATACAGAATCAAAATTACCCTCCCTAGCAACTTTCCAGGCTCTGCTGCCTTTAAATACCACCAGAAAGCGTTGCTGCACAAACAGCTATTGAAAACTGCTTGAAAGAGTAACAGAGGGCATCCGCACTGGAACACTTGAGTCTCCCCACTGCCTCAACGCAGAGAGAAAGAACTTTTCATCTCTGCAGGATCACCATAACATGATCAGAGAGATGGCAAAGAGCAAACAGAGAGAGAAACAGATGAGGCTTCACAGCAGTGAGTGGTGGCAGCAGCGAAGGGTGCTACAGCTTCAGAAAGGACATTGTGAAAGACGCATTGTGGAGAAACTGTCTCCATCCATGCAGCACTCAGAACACTCTGCAGAGAAAGCAGTGACCATCCGCCAGCAGAGAGGAGAACAAAAGCTGGACTAGCTGCCCATGAAGAAGGCCAGCTTTTTTCCACTGCACTCTCAAGTGTTGAAAGAACTACTGCTGTATCCGAGTGCAACTAAGTGCTAACTTGACCCCATAACACTACTGAAGACCTACTCCACATGACTTTAGCCTTTGTGTTATTTATCAGACTTATGAAATCAATTACTGACATTTTTTATGCACCATCTCATTGGCCAATTACCTTTTTGCAAATTACTCAAATATGTTCACTCGAACAGCTTGTTATTCGACTGCAGCGGGGTGACGCAGCTCAAGGAAGAACATTTATGATCACTTCGTCATGGAAATGCAATCAGACATAGACGTTAGGCAGAAGAACTACCGTGTCTGCAGTGAAAAATGATTATTATGATGATTATTACTCAAAGGAAATGATGAAGTAAAGATCATAAATGTTCTTCTCTAAGCGACGTCCCCCCGATGCAGTCTGGCGAGTTATCCCATGGGCGTCAAGCAATTTCTGACATCTGAGATCAAATGAAAAGCAACAAATCTGACCTGTGGCTCTTAGCTTTATGTCGCTCCTAAACCCAGGTCTCTATTCAACTCACTTCCTCATCCTTGAAAGAAAATCCTAGTAAAATTATTTATTTAAGCTCCTGTGAGGAATGTTTTGTCTGTGTTGATTATGGCGCCTCTTTTGGACAAAGCAGTATCCGCTTTTGAGAGTTTAAACTCTCATCCTTTTGTCCCTAGGTGGCGAACACTATCACTCACTGGGAATCTTTGCTGTGTGAAAAATAAGTAAGACACTGTTGTGGTCTGATCTGACACCACCCCCACAAAATGGTTAACTCTTGTACACTGTGGAAGAAGAAGTCAGTCTTCTTGTTAGTGGGTCACAAAGGTGCATCACTGTCAATTTCAGTCTTTTCATAAACAGTCAAAAACTCTCGGCAGGAGCTTCACAAAAGACTCTGAATTTGTGCATTTTTTTTTTTTTCTTTTTAAATCCAATGACTAGTTTTTCGGATGGCTTTGCAGGTCCTTGATCACAAGTGCAGAGCTGGTGCTCAGTCTCTTTGAAAACCAGGCCGAAATATAAAGTGCATGTTTTTCCTCAGACTCTTTCTTTTGAAGGATTAAACTTATCAAACCAGCATCAAGCTTTTAGCTTTGGTACAGGATGGAAAGTCTAAGGCATGTTGCTGCAGGTCAAAGTCTTTCCAGGAATATGCGGCACATCTGAGATTCGTTTCATTGCTGTCTGCTGATCCTGCTGCTCTGCTCTGTGTCAACCTAACTCACAGATCTCACTGACTCCATCCAGAGCAGACGCAGACACACAAACACTGACAGACACAAAGTAGTTTGCCTCTCCCTTTCCAGCAACTCAGTGACCTCCTTTTTACAGTACAGCTGATATTCTCTCTCTCTTGCACACTCACTGACCCCTGGCAGCAGATCCCCCTGTCCCTTCCTAGAATTTATCGGGGTAACACAAACAGCTGCGGTGCTGGTTTCAGTCCAGTCTGGGTCTGACCAAAATTCCTTTGAATAACAGCTGAGTTGTTATGCTTCCATGGAAAATTCAGGGATGTGCTTTACGGATCATGTTTACAACACAGCCGATGATTTACTGAGTGTCCGCTCGCTGTATTTGGCTGTTGCTTCAGCAGACAGAAGATGCTGAAGAAACAGCAACAAAAGATAAAAGTCAGCAAAGTCTGTTTTGCATTAAAATGACTGGGTTTCCCTTAAGGCTGTTTGTTTGTGTGCTTTCTTTCTGTTCTCTGTCAAAGTGAAACTCAGGCTCAGAACCAAAATAATCCAGCTCTCACTTTCTCTTCGAGTGTCCTTCCCAGCATTGATGCGATGACCCGAGGTTTACACATACCACCCCTGAGACACATCCAGAGAAATGACAAACGAGTCTCCCAAGCTCTCGGTAAATTTGTCTCGTCATACACAAGCTGGGAGGAGGGCGTTCCTAAAATATCTCCACTGTGCATCTGAGCTGCTTCAGCACTGAGAATCACATTTGATGGAAGAGTCGCACTGCAGCTGCAACTGTGACAGAACAAGTCAGAAACTTTACTCTTTTATGATATAATAACTGTCCATACGCAGCAGAAATCAAGCAGCTGCTGTTTCTTACTCTTTAAAATGTGGGTTTGTGTTGGAGTGTATGTAGAGCAGCAGCAAGACCAGGCCAGAGCAGGACCAACAGGATGCTGGCAAATCTTTGACAACATATGCAGCAGCTGGATAGTTTTCTGCAGCTGTGTCCTCCAGTCTTGTTGCTTAGTGATTTACTTTCAGTTGTCTTTCTGAAATCAAACTTGAGAAAAATGCAGTCCAGAACTTTCTTTCAGCTAAGTCCAGGTACAGTTAAAGCTCAATTTGGGGATTTCTACCCCAGTTTACAAGCTCAAGAATTAATTCATTGACCAAAGGTGTCTCCCTATGCTCCAGTAGAAGGGGACATGCCCTCTTCAGCATAGGTTGACCTCTAATGTCATGTACCAAAACAATCAACAAACACTCCAGTTTCTCAGCTCTTTACCTTTCTTGTTATGGCAGATTCGTCCTTGTCTATGTCAAGGTTTTATTCACTACCCAAATATTCAACTTCAACCTCCGAGCCTGACATGTGAACTTTGGGCCCAATTGAGCCCTATACATGCAGTAGAAACAGGATTATCTTGGTATGTTGGTCCAACCATGCAAAGCTTGGTTAAGTGTGATTTCAGTCAAAGTAACACATTGACATGTATCTGAAGGGTCCAGTTTCAGTCTGATTGTTGCAAAACTGAGATATTTTGAACAGTATTTAAACATACTGGTGAAAATAAGCTTTAAAAATAGAAACAACCCAGATATAGCACACATATGTCGTGCTGACGTCGGCCTCAGAACGGCACGTTGGCCTTCAGTGTATAACATCTGACAAGCATCGACCTAATAGTGGATTAAGTGCTCTAATGTCCAAGCTCATCAAACGTCTCGACAAGGTTTTTTTTGCGCCGGCTGGCTGACCCCGCCTTACAGTTTGGACAGTCACTCGATGGCAGTCACCATTACATGCCGCAGAGGAAAACACACCAGCTCCCTGCCATTGTTTTTCAGGTAAGCTACTGACGTAAATTGGTAGAAACTAACTACTAAGGCAATTCTGCGACAATTAATAAAGTTGCTAACAACTAGTAATGCCCGGTCTCCTCTCAGAAGCAAACGGACCCGGTAGTTACAAGTAAGCACTAAAGCACAGGACTGTTTGCCCGGGTGCTGCTGTTAGCTTTGTTAGCTTTAAGTGTAGAAGGTTATATATGCCATTTTGCAGGTGTTTGTTTCTCCCTTCTGTGCTAAGTCCAGACAGTTAAGTGTTTTGGCTTGACTTATGGCTCTTCATTATTCACACCCATGAAAGTAGGTAGTATCAGTCAGTATTAGGTCAGCATTGTTTTATTCATATTGCATAGTATATTTACTGTACAGTTTCGACCTATAAATAAAGGTTGTGCGCTACAACTTAGATTCATCTTCCAAACATCGTGTGAAGATCACTTTAGATCAAAGGCCGACATCTTCTTGACATTGTGACAATTAGCAAACACTCTCCTTGCAATGTCTTGGCGATGGAACTAGATGTATTGGGCCGTCGTCGGCATGATGTATGTATGCTATCTGGGAATATCACTCAAACAGAGCTTATATGAAAGCTAGCTTAGAGATATCAACATATTCTAGCTTCATTTTTAATGTACTTGTAAGTGTCAAACATGTTTCCAAACTGTTAAACTATTCCTTTAATATAAAATGAGATATGGACTGTTGAAGACAAACAACACTGAATAAAACCTTGTTTTACAGACTGACTAATATTAAAACGAATGGGTGCAGATGATGAGTCATCTCCGCCCTCATTTGACTAAGTGATCAGAGCAGTAATGATGTTCCAATCTTTCTCTCCAACCACTAACAGCTTTGCTTTTTACTCCACTGTTGTCTCTGTATGGACAAATACAGCAGCAGTTACCTGAAATGAACCACGCTGTGAGTTTCTGTGGTCTATTTTCTCAAGCTGTTGAAAGGCTGAGTGGTTTCCTAACACACTCATCTGCTCACTCACTGTCTGCCTCTCCTCATCTCTTTCTGCTCCTTCACGTCGACCCTAAATGACTCTGTCTTTCTCTCTTAAGCCTCCATCTGCTCCCATGTCTCATAGTGTGGATTCACCTCTCCTTTCTCCCTCTCTTCTGCTGCCATCACCATCTGCTTGCCTTCCTTTTTTTGATTTCTTTCGTGCTGTCTGTCTGTCTGTCTGTCTGTCTGTCTGTCTGTTTGGGACCATCTTTGTTCCACCATACTGTGCAAGCATACCTCTGCAGAGCACTTTCTATGTATACCTGTCCCTTTTGAAACTAATCCACCAATTTGAACATGCATGTTGCCAGAAAGATATAAGCATGTTAGTTTATTTATCGATGAGGCTGGATGCCCAGAACTTGGAGTTTGGACAAGGGTTAATAGAACATAGCTGGAGACATTTTACAGATGCAGTGCATTCAAAGTACTGCATTATTAATGAGCAGATGATGAGAGATTTTGAGAATCACCCCGATTAACCCATGCAGCGATGAAACCACACAGGAACCTATCTATGAAACCATCTAGCCAAAATAACAATTCTCTGAGAACAACACTTGCATTACCTAGAAAACATCACAGCTGGTTTTAGTGTGCACACATTTATTTTGCATGCACACACACAAGCATGTGAGCATGAAATTTAAAGCATAACTGCATAATCTTCTCGTTGTAATTTGCATCTCTCTACAGAATTGTGACCAAAGGGCTGCAGCAGGTTGTAAAGTGGCAACTATAATGTTTCCTGACTAGTAAATGAGCTCAGGGCTTCAGGGCCTTGTGATTATGAGTCGATGTGGCTACGTCTGATCTCACACACAAACATGAAAAGTGGGATGTTTCTACCTTTTGTAATCTCTACAGCAGCATCATTACAAAAAGACACA